GGATTTGATATCCGTGTGGAAAGATTGCATCTGTTATCCTGGTGAGTTTTATTTCTGTGAGTGGTATTATGTCTGGAGATGTCTTCTTGATTTTTTCATGCAACTCCTCACATTTATTCTGCCTGCATTTGTATACCACACCTTCAACTTCTTTTCTAAAACTGTGATCTGTGGGGTATGTTGGGGTTGGGGAAGTTAGAGACCTGATGAAGAACTATGGGTGGTTACTGTGAAGGTGGAGTTTGTAATGAGGTGGAGGGGGGCAATGGGTATGCATGTGTGTTGTGGGTTAGAATGTTTGGTTGCATTGGGGTTGTCCTGGTTGGGGATTTCTGTAGGTGGTTGTGAGGGAGGTTGTATTTGATCTTCCTCCTGAGCCTGGGTTCTCTTGTTCATCTCCATCTTTGCCTCTCCTCCTCCTTTGTACCCTCTCTTTCAGTTTCTGCCTTTCATCTCGTGTTCTGTTGTGGTTGAGGTACACCCTCTGGTACGCCAACCTGTCCCTTAGTCATGTAATCTCCTGCCAGATCCTGTTTCCAGCCGATTTTACCTTGAAGATCACTTTGGCCGATTTCTTCCTCTTGCAAACCCCCCTATTCTCAGAAAATTTGCCAGCTGGGTTATGTTTCATGATTCTTTAAAGTGCTTTTTTCTTCCCCTGTCTTCTTGCCCTGTAAGTTTCCCCTTCAACTTCCTGGGGCCCATAAACAAAAAATGATCTCTCCATTTCATTCTCCCACTGCATATCCCTATGTATCCCCTGATTCGATTTAGTTGCCTCCATTACAGCTTTCCTTTCTTCAATCTCTTCACTATCTGTTGTCCCTGGACCCAGTGGTCTGTCATTTTACCTTTTCAGCTTTCCCTAGGCACTGCTGTGGTCTGTTAGGACCTCTGTGTATAGCTTAGTTCTTTCATTTTCTATAGTCCGAAACCCTATAAACGTATACTAAAGATATATAAAAGGAATATCAAAGGAGGGATATGAGAATAGATGTATCATGAAAGCTTCTGAGGCTCTTAGATGAAAGAGTCTCGGTCAGAGTGGGTGCTGCTGTTGCAACTAAGTCACAGTGCTGAGTGCAAAATTATCCTATTTTAAGCTCTGTGGTTGTTATATGCATGAATCACTGCTCAGTGTTCCAGTCCATTTTTCTGTTTATTCTGTTTATTCACACACACACACACACACACACACACACACACACACACACACACACACACACACACACACACACGCCCACCATTCTCCCCGGACCACAGTTATAGAAAAGAAGTTGAAAGTTTGGTACACGAACGCTGATGGAATAACGAATAAATGTGAGGAGTGGTATGAAAGAATCAAGATGTCCCCAGACATCATAGCAGTCACAAACACAAAACTCACTGGGACAACAACATATGCAATCTTCTCACCCGGATATCATTAAAAACCGATTGGGATATCAGGAAATGGAAGGAATGAATGAGATTGGAGTAAGGGATTACATAGGTACAATTCAGTCAGGGGAACATAGGGTAGTCATTGCAGTGATGTATAACCCGCCACAGAACTGCAGGATCAACAGAGCAATGGTGGAGACACTAGCTGAGGTGGTCAGAAAAGCTCACTTGAGTAGAGAAAAGTTACTGGTTATGGGCAATTTCAACCACAGGGAGATTGGGAAAACCTGGAGCCACATGGGGGTCCCGAAACATGGAGAGTTTGGAAAACCTCATGCACCAACATGTTAGGGACACTACCAGAGAGAGAGGGAAGGATGAACCAACAAGACTGGACCTTGTGTTCGCCCTGAGTAGCTCAGACATTGAGGACATCACATATGAAAGGCCTCTTGAAGCTAGTGACCATGTGGTTCTGAGCTTTGTAAACATCGTAGAGCTACAAGTGGAGAGGGTAACAGGAGTAGAAAGGAAAAAGTCAAACTATAAAAGGGGGAACTACACAGGTATGAGGACCTTCCTGCAGGAGGTTCAGTGGGGAAGAGAGTTAGTAGGAAAGTTAGTAAATGAAATGACGGACTACGTGACAACAAAATGCAATCAGGCAGAGGAAAGGTTTGTTCCCAAGAGTAACAGAAATAATGGGAAGATCAGAATGAGGCCTTGGTTTCCCCGAAGGTGTAGGGACGCAAAAACTAAGTGCGCTAGATAATGGAAAAAGTACAGAAGGCAAAGGACCCAGGAAAATGAAGAGATAAGTTGACAAGACAGAAACGAGTATGCACAGATGAGAAGAGAGGCGCAGCGGCATTACGAAAACGACATAGTATCGAAAGTCAAGTCTGGCCTTAAACTGCTTTATAGCCACAAGAGGAGGAAGACAACAGTCAATGACCAGGTAATCAGGCTGAGGAAAGAAGGTGAGGAGCTCACAAGAAACGACCAAGAAGTATGTGAGGAACTCAACACGAGATTTAAGGAAGTATTTACAGTGGAGACTGAAGGGACACTGGGAAGACAACTCAGAGGGGTACAAAAACAAGGGATGTACCAACAAGTGTTGGATGAAATACATACAACCGAAGAGAAGGTGAAGAAGCTCCTAATTGACTTTGATACTTCAATGGCGGTGGGACCAGACAACATTTCTCCGTGGGTACTTAGAGAGGGAGCAGAGACACTGTGTGTGCCATTAACCA